ACTACGCCATTTACTTATGTAAAGTGAACACTTTATTTTCTTAAATTATCCAAGGATCTCAGTTTTGTTAGATAAACCTGATTTTTGTTAAATATATAGATAAAAGACGCCAAGTTCATGGGATCATTAGTAAGACGTCTCATTGTTTGTCAACATTCACCACTACTTATCTAATATTTCCTGGCACATCGGAGTTGATCTTACACTGAAATCTGTCTCGCCATAAAACCAAATTGTATTGTCATTGGATCAACCATCAGCAAAAGCGAGACCATTTTTGACATACTAGTCAAAACTCCTCTGTAGAGTGTTTAAAAGTACTCGTTAATCATCTGACCATTGATTTTTAATACTCTGTTGAAAGTCACTATTCAGGAGAATTTTTATTGGAATAATTATAAGTTAGTAGATCTTAAAATGATCATGTCAGAAAGCACTACATTATGTTGTATCCTGGTTCAATAGATTCGGATCATCAGCGTTTAAACTTATCTTATTAGAACTTATGTAGCCGCAGTTGTGTCAAGTTGACTAGTAGCCTACAGGTTTTCCTATGCTATTCAAGTAGTAGAGCTTTTTGATCAAAAACGTTACTTGTTGCATCAGTTTGTATTTGTTACTTCCAAACGTCGGGTATGTCATCTTATTTCACTGAACATCGTAGAACATAGAGATAACGGCTTACAAGAGTAATATAGTTCCTGTGTTACCTGTAGTGGTCTAATTATCATTATGCATAACATTGCTTCTGTTGCGGCGTGTTATAATTTATCAACCTCTGAAATTTGTGTCGGAAACATTTAATGATGATGCTAATGAAACAATAGGTATTCAATCAAAGTTTTCCTGCTGAATGACTACTATAAAGGACGAGGGAATTCCGGTTGTGTACTATGATTCCTACTAAACTGACTCAGCAGTTTATATTAGAAAGTGAATAAAAGGGTTTCTCATGTTTTGATGATGGCCTTTAAGAGTAGAAGACACTCGTAAGCTACTAATATTTGACCACAGATGCCTTAGAAATATTGCTGGCGTCTGCTGGGATCACCGGGTAAGTAATAGTGAGGTTAGACGCAGGGTATAAGGGAAGGATGGTAAATCAGTCGATGAGGTTGTTAATCTTCATCGACTGAGATGGTTGGGTCACGTGTAACGTATGCCCGAACACCGATTACCACGACGTGCAATGCTAACCGGTGTTGGAGATGGTTGGAAGAAGGTTAGGGGCGGCCAAACCAAAACGTGTCATCAGTGCTTGAAGTCACTAACTGCTAGTCTGAGCCATGTTGGTAGATGCAGACTACTTGGTTGGGGTCCGCGTGACTGTCGTAACCAATGGTTGGAGACTGTAGGTGACATGGCTCAGAATCGATCACAATGGCGTCGGTGTATACACTCTCTGTCTTCTCTTAAACTAAGAGATTAAAATTGCATCATATCTTTCTTTCTACGAACTAATTCTTTCTTCCTGTACTATATCCTTATTGCAATCTTTCTTTTATATATTACCACCTCTAAATTAACCACTCCTATGAATCCGGTGTCCATCTAGCTGTGTTAATGAGGTATGGCAACTTGAACCGATGCATATATGTGCCTGGTCCTATGTTGTAGCTGACATGTTTTGATGTCTATCAGTACGGTGGAAATAGCTACATCCAGACATACTTAAATTTCTTCAGGAGTTTCGTTTCAAGTGTTCACTTGCAACAGTATAAAACAAAAGATATCGTGGGAATAACGTTCAAACCACATGTAGATACACCTAGCAGTGCTGTACAGGAATTTAAACCCGTGATCTTTTTGAGAAATCAAATAACTAAAAATTTTTATCCAATGAGAAACTGAGCGTTTAGTTTAAACTCATAATCAATTTCTCCTTAACTTAGTGTCTATATTTATGATTTCAAGGAAAAAGCGTTTTTGCGATCCAAGAGGAAATCAAAACATATACTGATTTATATGATTTGCTATAAAAACTATGTTTTCCGCAAAAGTACCTTATTTTCAATCAAATGTTTCTCATTTTGCTTATTGGTCAGTTGACTGTGGTCACTTTAACTACTGCTACTCTTCGTCCATTGATGGATCTGGAAATTTGTTTCAGAAAACAATGTCCAGTAGATCCCGATCGTAGTCCTCACCTTCATGTGGTGGTCGGGTTTGAATATCATAATGACAACCGGGTTATATTAGAATACTTGTTCGTTTAAGGCCCACCATGCCAGACAGGTTGGGTGAAGAACAGTAAAACTATAATCAGCGAATTAGAGTCCGAGGTCATCTCACTGACTGCAGGGATGTGACCGAAGTGAGGTGTTTTCCTCAGAGAACGAGGATTGTAACCGGTGCTGTTTCCTCACCACGGGATGAGTTAGAAAAAAGTTGGCCCTGAAAATGTTACACTTCACCCATTTTCCGTTGCCAGTTGTAAAGCCTCTTGAAATACGGAGCTAACACATCAAAAACTTCCCATGAATAGGCCGCATGTGATTGTCTTTGAGCAGCTTTCCCTTGCGTTCTGTGATCGTATCTCGTCTCTGTGACCATTCCTAATCCAGTTTTCTTTTCAAATCCCTTCATAATGCGGGGAACTGAGAGGTGATTACCTAAAACAACAGCACTCGGAACTTCCTATAGATATCATTTAAATATCTCCACTGGGTTTTGCATTAACAGCAGTACCTACTTAGCGCGCTCCTAGTAAAAAGAATAGTCAAGGATAAGCTTGTAGCTGTTTAGTTTGTCTACCGAAACCGTTTATATAGGAGCACGTAATAATTAGATTGTCTTCGCACAAAACTGACCCCAAAACAAACTTGGTTATTGAGACACAGTGAAGTAATTTACAACTGGCAAGCTAATAACTGGGAATGGATCAAGTCAGTACAGCCCCACAGTTTCACTTCATGTAATACTTTCAGTGTCATAAAACCCTGCTAAAGCACTCAGTGGTCCTTCAGTACATTTTTACTCCATATCATAATTCCAAACCAAAGACAAACTGGCTAGTTTCTATGTGCATCTCCTTTTTGCAAGATAGTCTGATGACTATTTTACTAGTAAGTCGAGTACACCTAATTTATCGAGTGGGAAGATATCAAACCCATCCACATAATATGTAAGACTCATGAAAATATAAGTGAAGTTTGGGAACATAGTCGTCAACCTGCAGTAACCGATCTTGATGAACTACAAAGAAATCAACAGCCACTGGGGTAGGACAAGATATTTTAAGTACATTTCTGAAACACCATATCAGGTGGTTTCGTTGAATTAGATTATGACGTATGTAAGCCATACAAAGCCGAGTTTTCGTAATAATCGATAGCTTAAAATGAAGATTGTCTAAAGCTACTGCAACTGGGTTTATTTATTTGAGCAACTAGATATTGGCACAAGGGGGCACCGAATACATATGTGCCACACAAGTCACTTGCTTTGTGTATGGGCTCTGATACTTTCCTTAGGGGGCCACACCTGGAGTCTTCCGCCTAAAGGTCTGATCCACAATGCAGCCGAGCAACGTTAGAAGACGCAGTACCATGGTAGCCGGTGGCCAACAACTGGTTCATACGCCATTTGTTTCCTCAGGATCATGGAACCCATGTACAACATCAATTTGGAATCAGGATTTTCCAACTCCCCTAGGTAGAACATCTGTGTCCACTATCCCGATTAGAGCGCCGAATACTCGGTTTTCGTCTTCTCAGTTTCGTAAACAACCCCACCACGAGAATACAGTGAGTAGGACTTTCCTGGCAGTCGATTGTATACGCGCGGCGATGTGAGAGCTGACTCTCTCCACCCGTGGGGCATTTAGTGTTTAATGTAGTTAGCTAGGAAGCTGGTTACTAATTCTAAACACAACCCCCTCCCAAAGTTGTCTGAAAGTTTACCACCCAAAAAAATTTATATTGGTCTGTTGAATAACCGTTACTAAATGAGTCCAACCTAGTGAAGTATTGTGACACTAATAAAATACTAGATAGAAACCTTTAAAAGAATCACAATGTGATTATGAAATAAAATGGTAGCAACCGATGGATAGAGACCCTGAATGACATGGCTGAAAATAGTTTGCAATGACGCAGGTGCATTCACTCTTTGTGTTCTCCCGAATTCTAATCTTCTCAATTCTTCATGTCCCTTTCTTCCTCTTTCCAAGTTAATTTCACTGGATTATACTCCTTGAAGAACATCACATCTTAATCTTTCCGATTCCTGCTTATACTCCTACCACCTCTACCAATACGGGATTTGAGTCGACCGCTGCATCTCTGTGCTAATGTGGTGTGGCAACTCGAACTAAATTCTTCATGTTCCTTTCTTTTTTTTCTTTCCAAATTTATTTCACTGGATTATACTCCTTGAATAACATCTTCAAACCCTAATTTTTCTGATAAAATAATAATAAATTTTTCTGATTACAGCTTATAATTTTACTACACCTAGCACTACGGGATTTGAATCGACCACTGCATCTCTGTGCTAATATGGTGTGGCAACTCGAACTGATGTACGTTGTTACTGACTGACTGACCGCATCCGACCTGATTCGTTTTGTGCAGTTCATGACAACTTGCGATTTTCTATTTCTTCGTATTTTTCTCATTAGTGTAGTAAAATCAAACAATTTTGTGACAGATTTGGTTTTTCCGAAGAAAGTTTTACACGTAGGAAGAAGACCAAAGGACCCAACCCATTATCGTGTAAGCAAAAATTACACAAACCCCACATCCTAAAAAGAACGACAACTAAACGAAAGCGAAAACGTATCAAAATGACATGGGCAATGAAGCAAGTCGTAGAACGTTTGAAAACAGAACAAAGTAGCAAAGATGCGTGAAGTATATTAAACACAGAGTCCCATTTATTATGTATTTTTTCACCCTTTACTATCAATAAAACCATTCGATATTATATTTTTTCTCATTAGTGGAGAAAAGAGGTACTTGCGTACACAACCAACCTCATTGCTACACCATAATATGGTACATTATCATAAGAATTTTATTTCAGACAAAATCTTATGAAGTAACTATACAATATTGTACAATTTAGATACATTATATTCACAAATATATGTACATCGACGACCAAATAATTGGTTTCTTTTCTTAGTTGAAGATCATGTGTTTTTGGGATGCGTCAAGTTAGAGACTACACGCTGTAACCTAATAACCTGTGCATTGGAATTGGAAATATGATTGGGAATGAGTCGTACAGTGTTCCCGATTCTAACAGTGTTAGTTGGCGTAAGTAGCGCTGAAACCGACTGAGAATTATGTGGATGGGTCACATCATTGTTGATATGATTTATTTCTGAGGAGACCAGTCTTATGATAGGACTTGTTTTGTTAGCGTCACAGTTAATCATTCTTATCACAGGAATGCTCGTTGCACACTTGATGCCATTCGCTGAAAATCGGGGAGGTTGAGAAAAATGCTTTACAGAGGTTGTCATATCCTGTAATCCAGAATCAGGAGACACATTTACATTTACAGTTTTAGCGACTGGTTTCATAACTAACGCGCCCGCGGTAGGAGGATTATTCATCATTGCCGGTCTATAAGTTATTGAAGATTCGGTCGGTAGTTGAGGTTGTCGAATACGATTAGTTTCTAAAAGTGTAGAGGTTCGAGAAGAGATCCCCGACGGTTTTTGTAATCGGTAAACCATGCGTGTAAACTGTGATGGAGGAACAACGGGATGAGTAAAGCGTTGTTGATATATTTCGCCTGCAAGAAAAAAACAATGTTCACTAACCAGTTTTTAAAATTGGTTATCGAAGCAAATACAAATACCAGCTAGAAAACACATCCTGAACATTTATTGTCACGATAAGTATCTCAAAAGCTTCGTAATTTGTAAGTGTACACACAAATGGTAAAGTAATATTTGGAAAAAGGACGAGAAAACATTCGATCAACAAGTTCACTACCAAAGATAACATTGGTCTTGCATTCCTGAGATGGAGTCAGATGTGGATGACTATGAAAGCTAAAGTCCTAAAAGTCACACTAGTGAAATTGATTCCACTTCGGCTGTTGCAAGAATGATACGGTTTTTCCTTACAAACTAGAAAGATCAGCGATCGATACCAATGGTGTAGGATTACGTCCAACTCCAACCACAATTAAAGCCTCTGAAATAAAAATACCAAGGCTGGTTGCGCCTGAATTACGAATAATCATCAGAAACTAAAGAATAAACAATAAATCGGTGTTGTTTAAGCTTGCAAAGTGGAAGATGAGAAATCTTAGCAAATATCCATCTTAAAATTTTCAGTGCAGGAAGTATTATCTTCATACGAAGCCATTATGCTTTGACTTAATTTGAAAAAAATAGTTAAAGAGACGTTTATATCCTAAAATATTTCATGTACATCGGATTTATTTTATGACTAATCACATAACTGATGAGAATTGCCATAAAAACGATGATCATCCTTGTTTGAAAATTCGGAAACAAAGTAGGCATGCATAACTTACCCGAAGGTGTTTTCATTTGGCGTGTAATTACAAACACAGGTTGTCCAGTTGAAGCCAATACTTGTCTTGCTGTTAAGTTCAGATGACTTCCATCGGGAATAGACTGAACAGGAATCATGGGCTCCGGAGGATGCTGAACCGACGGGGTCGTTGGGCTCAACAAACGGAACGGTATATCTGGTGAGTTTTGGTACCTGTTTTGTAAATGTATACCAGGAGTAGTAGTGGTTGATGGCACAACATATTTCGTACATGATAAACCAGTAGCACTGAGCCCTTCTGAAGCCTAGACGAAACATCAGAACATCAAAGTGTAAGTGAAGTTTACACACTACAGGAAATACACAACAATAAATAAGGAGAGTTAATATCTGGACAGATACTAGTTTTACTGTTCACAAAATTTATCGTACTTAATCTACGTTTCTTCAGAACATAGGGTAAACAGATCACTAATTGATCCAGAGACAACTCACAGAGACTCCGATGATCAGTAATCATTTGATAGTTAATATATTAGAGTTTAAGTAAAAAAATATGGGATTTGAACTATATGATCTATAACTGAAGAATGTAACTATAAAAAAGTAAGTTTTTGAAACATACTGTTACCAACACACTATTTTCAGATCACACATGTTTTAGACACAATGTATCCCAGATTCTCAGTAACAAATTTCATCTGCAATAATCTGGTTAACAATCATATTTAAGTGAATATGACAAGAGATGTACTTACCGAGATATCATTGTGAAAACCAGGTATTCGGTCGGACTGTAATTTAGTTGAACTCCCCCCAGAAACCTCGAATGAGTCTGAGAGGACGTTATTTGACTGTTGATTGAAAGGTAACTCAACTAAATTATTAGCTTCAACAATTTCCTCATGCGCCACATTTTCAGGATCATAGTGGTTGGAAGAAATCACAGAATTCGGTGCATCAAATCGAAACACTTTATCTGGAAGATGACATTCTGTATTTCGTCTGTCTATCCTTTTCTGAGTTTGAGTAGTTGATCTATTGTATTGCGAATGCGATTGATCGAAATGATGGATCTCTTCTGATCCTTTGTAGCTAACATTCTCTTCAGAGAGTTCTGGAATTGGATACGACCGAGATGATAAATAATTCTTTTCGAGTTTACTGGAAGATATTACATCCTGTTGTAAAAATGCACCAGTTTTAGATTGAGGATTATTACTTTGTGAATAGAGATTATTATTTCGAATACCAGACTTATGAAACCTTTTGGTGTGGACCGTCGGTGGAAAATGCATTTTCTCAACAAATGCCTTGATTCCAGTTTTACTACTTTCAGTAATATCAAGTTGTGTTGGCTGATTTGTAGACTTGGCTCTTTTACTAATATCTTGATTGATGTTTATTTCGTCTTTTTCATTGTCACTAACGAATGTGATCTAAAAATCAGAGATTTTAAACACTTTTAGACTTCAGTTAAAGCAAATTATATTTGAAGGGGTTTTTGTGGACATTATAGTAATTTTAATAGTTGAGATCGTGAGTCATTTGAAGCTAGACCACCTTGGAAAACCTGGAAGCACTGGACGGCCGTTTCGTCCTATTGTGGGACTCGTCAACAGTGTGCATCCACGATCCCGCCTCGCGAGATTCAAATCCAGGACCTGCCGGTCTCGCGCACGAACGCTTAACCTCTAGATTAACAGTGTTCATATCTAACTCCAACTAATCCACAAGATTGAGCGACATATCCACCATTGTCTTCAGTGAGTTACTATTCCACAAAAGACCCGATTGGACGTCTCAGTGCTTCTAGGTTTCCCATAGTGGTCCAGCTTCAATTGACTCATGATCTCAACTATTCAAATTATATTTCCGAAACCCGAACTCTTAAGTATAAAACATTTAAGAGAAACAAAGTCGTTAAAGAACCCATTGATATGACAGGAAAAAAAGTGAAAATGTAGTTAGTGACCTTGATTAGATTTTTGTGATATAACTAGTTTTATATTGATTAGACACTTTATACACAGATCAGTTTTTTTCTAAAAAAAAAAAGTGTCATCTGTCAGTCGACCTGTAATCCTATGTTTTTTACACAAATGAGTTCGGAGAAATTACCTTCGATAATTACCAGCTTATTCATGTAGCCATTTATCGTCAGTCATCAGAGTATTTAATTAGACTGATAGCTTGTAACACATACACTTCGAAGTGTTTTTATTATCCACAAGTTCAGTTACGAAGTGAATGTAAGAACATACTAAGAATAGTTAGTGATATCGATCACCATCTGAAATCTATCTATAAAACAACAATCTATTTACTATCAAATGGCTTACGAAATGAAAATTGATTAAGAAGTGAAAATTATGTGAAAAAACTTACATCTATCGGTTTCTTCGGTTTATCCAACCTTAGTCGTTTAGGCACCTTCCCAGCACTAGTAGACCTCGTTGACTTGTTTGTCCGTGAGAGTCGTGGACACACTACCTGTCGAGCTTGGACTTTATGTGCAGTTGAACACGAATCATATGGTCGCTTCCTAGGATATTTAGATCGCCCACTAGAAAATATCTGTCCAGAATCTAAAAGGTTAATCGACGCATCTGCATCATCAGTTTCCTCCATACGGATTCTCTCCAAACGTTCCAATTCAGCTAACTGGCTGGAGAGATCATATTTACCGCAACAGTAAAACATGTCATCATCTTCTAAATCAGCTCGCTGTTCGTCTGCCTCATGTAAGGCTTTCAGTTTTTCAAGATGCCATACCTTTTCGGACTCTATTAATTCGGCCTAAAATCAGAATGAAAAAAAACAATGATTGAACTACATGAACTGAAAGTATAGCTTTCATGAGAAAGTGACAACGTTTCTAGACGACATCATGATAAACACACATAAGCGAGATTTGGGAAATCTTCATTGAATATGTACGAATGTTCCATTTATTTTCTTAAAAATAATCAGTGTTAATATTTCATACGCTTTTTCAGTAGAAACCGTGTAAATTTTATTTATTTTGTTGATAAGAAAACTTAGATCAGTCATTCATACTACAATATCCACCGAAACACTACGCTTAATCACTCTTAGATCACTGAAAGTTACTGTTTTTGTCCTAAGTAATTCACTCAAAAGAATGAAAACTGCTCTATAATCGATATGTTAGAATATAACGATAGTACTTTCTTAAAAGCATTTTCCATTAAGGTTCAGAATGCAGTAAATGTCAAGTTGATTGAATATTTAAAAAAATATCTTAGAAATACCCCTTAATTACTTTCCAACCAGTTCAACAAAAATTTATTTTTTCTACATTAAAAAATCCACTGCATTGATTAGAAAAAGTGAAACAAGTACGATGTTTTGTTTCCCGCTAAAATAAGTTAACAAAAGCGATATCAATAATTCCAAATTACCTATTGCAGTAAAAGAACTTACATAAATACTAACATGAAGGAATAAAGTAAGATCGAGATAAAAATTGTTACACCTATAGAATGATACACGACTAATCTAGGGAAATAATAATCTGTTAATGTATGATTACATGCATTTGAGAAAGCAACAAAAACCTACGTCAGCCATATCTAACTGTTCATTTAGCATATGTTCCCTTTGTTCTTCAACTTGCCGAACTCCAAATCGCTCAACAGGTTTTAACTGGGATTCGAAGCCAAGTAACTCACGTTCCACAATTTGCTCGATTGTTTCGAATGTTTCGTTTGTATTTTGTGATGCAGTATTGTCTTCATCCGATTGCTGTAGACAGTTTCGAAGACGAGAAAATGGTTCTATAACTGCTACAGAAGGAATATTTGAACCATTATTATCATCAGCAATGATAGAATCATTGTTGTCTTCATTGTAAGGTGATTTTTCTTCGAATTCTGCCAAATCTGCCTATTTAATTGGAAAAAGTTATTTATTCGGAATCACTTAAATGATAGTACTGAGCAAATTATATTAGAGTGAACCCTTGTTTCCAATAACTTCTTCATCGGGCTCTACGGTTATAAATCCATAATTGTCGTGTTACAATAGACTAAATACTAAAGTCGAATCAATTCATCTTATAAAATGAATTTCACATCGACTGAGTCATAAATACTATGAAGTACTAGTATTATATATTATTAGTAATGTAAGACACAGATTGCCACAGTTAAGATAAAAACTTTATATCTAAGAATTGATTGCGAAGGTGATAAAGTAAGTGAAATTCTAACACGTCGGTTAGGCAGATCCATTAAAACGATCTTTTATGTCACTAAACATCACTTTCGCAAAGAAGCCAATATTGAAGTAATAAATTCAGGGTAAAATACCGATGAGTTCTTCTGTGTCTTTATCAATTTAACTATTACACTGATTGTATTCAAAGGTCGTTATCCTTATGTGCTCATTAACACGTACCGGCATGATAAAATAAATCAATATCGCCATTTTTCCACCTAACTGATTATGGACAAAGCACGAAAATGCTTTGTTATATCTCGTTCCAAGTGATTTACCAAAAGACGCTAAAAAAACACATAGTCTAAACAGTTAAAGGAATTGGGAGAAACTAAAAGAAACCTAACTTATATATACAAAAATGATACATTCGACCCCTTCGTTTATTTTGGTCTATAATACGATTATTCCATTTTTAGTTATGATTTTGTCCGTAAATGTACAGATTATTTCACTTCCCCCTCCATAACATCTTATTCCGAATTACATACTTATGTGTCTTATTTAACCTAATATTCTTCTTCTTATTATTATTATCTTAACTGCGTTACATTACGTATTTCGTATAAGACGCTTTTACATACGATTTTATTTATTGATTAGAACTACACACTGGAAGACAAATAATTTTTTATCTCTCGGTGTATAACATTTTCAAACATTACCAATAACGTATTTTGTAGTACTTATGACTCGATCGACGTGAAACTTGCCATTTTCAATCGGTAACACGGATTCGTAACTGTAGAGCCTCCTAAAAATGTTCTCTGAAACAATTATGCGCCCCAATATTCTTTGTTGTTGAATACTTTGTGAAGATTTTTTAATTGCCGAATGATATTAGACATAAGTGTATAAAGCAGTATCGATCAGCTCAACATTTAAATTTGAAACATTATGAGATTATACTGAAGCAAACAACAAACTTTTCAACAGGAGTATGGTGTGGTGCACCTGTTAATCTATTGTATTTACATACACATTTGCAGATGAATAGTGAGGTGTATTCAGTATTTTTATTCTTAAAAGTTTGGAAAATTGAATTTACTAAAAGAATCGCAACTTAAAGAAAAGTTAGACATACTTTTGCTTCATCTAACACTCGTCTGGCGGCAATACGATCACTTTCTTCTTCACAAGCGTCAAGCAGAGCTTCCAACTGGGCTTCAGAATTCGATATAAGACCTGACGATTCATTGGCACTGACACCACATGGAGAGGCAGATGATGATGTTGACATACAACCATCAGGACGAATTTCTGGGACAAGATGTGTAACTACAACTCGATCTTCAGACTGAGATACACTTCCGAAATTAGAATCCATGCATTTTTTATCAGAATGAGAAAGCGAAGAAGTCTCCATAAGAGTAGCTGATCCTTTCATTTTTGCTAAATCCTGAAGTTACACAGAAAACATGCAAAAATGAAAGGGAAATTTTTACAGATGTGACTTTCAGAAGTTATACATTAACTAAAATACTAAGCTAGAGTTTTTTCAAGAGAAACTGAATAAATATCGTTCTTTGGTTAGAATACACCATAATAGAACGGTAAGAAGTAAAGTAAGATTTAGTACTGTGACCTAGAGTTGTAAAAGAATGTTGATACATACATCCTGAACTTACATATTAGAATCAGAGGCTCAACAAAACATCAGACATTTACATGTAGCATTTAACTAAATTTCACCAAGAAAGCTGCAGATAAGGTAGATTATGACCACACACCACTTGTTAGATTTTCTACAGCGCATCCAATGTCATATAAATCAAAAGACTGCCTTAGCTCTCCAGAATATACATAAGTGGTTCTGCAACAAACAACTAGTTTACGTCAAAATCCCATTAAAGGTAATGTACTAAATGATAGTCCTATCACAGGGCATAAAGACACAAAAGACCAGTTTTATATGACCGAGTCGATAGAATAAGTATCAACTAATAAGAAAACAGTTTGTTTATGGTTAACCATTAAAATACAACGAAAAAGTCCTAGTTATTCATAAGTAGTGTAGTTATAATGCCCAAATTCCCGGGCGAATACCTCGAAGTAAAACGTTGGCTAGTGTAGAAGCAGGATGGATGAAAACTAAAGGTGGGGCTTAATCGCAAAAGTGAAGCCAGTTCATGAAGTCATTGATCACTGTAGGTTCACACTATTTGGTTAGGGTTCGCAACTACTTGTTGAAGATGTTGAATGAATCAGAACCGGTCGAAATGACTTAGATCCATTTATTCTTCCTGAGTTTTAAAAATTATTCTACACTTTTTATTTCGCGAATTCAGTCCTTATAAGTGATCTCGAAGGAAATCTTTGCCATCATTGATACCAGTACTTCGGTGTTTATATTGAAAATCTCATCTAGATGTGGCATGACAATTTGGCCTGACTCACGTATGTGCCAGGTTTAAAACGTTGCTTATGGCTGACAAAGCGTCTAATGGCTATCTTTACAGAATAGTAACAATGGTACTAAGTTATCTCCCATTTTAAATAGAATTTGAAGCCTTCCCGTACGTTCCCACAGTTTAATAAATAAACCAAATAAAATAACATTGTAAAAATACGAATACAAAAAAGATTGAAATACATTAAGATGAGAGATAGTTTTTTTATAACCTGAAGTCCAGATGGCTCTGCAAATAATTCTGTTATGGTATTTTGTTTGAAAAAAGCTGTGGTGAATTTGCCCCCTTCAATAGCCACGTCACTAAGGAAGCGTTTTTGATTAGCTTTACGTAATATATTTTCTTCCACTGTTCTTTCACTTATCAAGCGATAAATATGAACATCACGAGTTTGTCCGATTCGATGGCACCTAAAATTAGAAATAAATAAACGCTTATTGTACTTACACAATGAAGGAAAATATGTATTCAACACTTTTATCACAATAATCACTGGATTCACCTGTAATAAAGAATCTTTTCTAATTCAGCTGCCCAGAGATAAAACAATAAAACATGTTTATAAACGATTAGTGTAAAGATAGTAAATTATCGTAAAAACCCATGATAAGTGGAATGTGATGACCAAGAAATATTTAATAAAGTGGAATTCCTGTAATATGGGCTTTACATAAACCTTTGTTGGAATTCAGCATTAAAAAGCCCGTTAAATTCCAGAGCTGACTTGATTATATAATTTAACATCGAAGGTCAGATGCTGAATACAACACTGGAAATAAGAAAGGGTACAGACCTTTTGACATTTAAACATGATTCATAAACAATATATCAGATTCTTACACTACTAATCAACTCAAAGCACGCCGTAATTCCTTTAAAAATATCTCCTGTAAACAGATTGCTGGAGATTTTTCATACATTTTGTTTATTTTTGATAAGAATATGCACCCGATAATACAAATTAAATGAAAGCTTATTATATGGCATTAGTCATAACCACAGCAAAATAAGTAATTGGGCATGTCTAATCTAAAATATCTACTACTTTGTCCCAATCTAATCTGAATGGACCTAGTCTTTAGTTGTTTAACTAATCGGGAAATATTGTAATCTCTTTATATTGCAATCTATTACTAATTCGTTTTGTATGTGTTTGATTTCGCTTTTTGACTGACTACATTTATTTTATCTCCCTCCTTTAATCATGATAATTTATACCACTGAAAAAAACCGGCTGAAAAGTACGGGAAGCGCGCGAATAAGATGTATATAGGCAAAATAACTGCCGGACAGGTCTCCACATATGACGAACTATTATCCACTCATAATGGGACACATGTTTCAGTATTGTGCCATCATTTAGAATTATCAATCGAGTATTATTATACTGAGCTGAGTAGTCTGCACCTAAAATGTACAATATTCAGTGTGATTTTAGTGATGTTTGTCTTTAACCCTGTCCGGAATACAACCTCTGCTGTTTATGACTTCCTAAAATATTAATTGCGTTGTAACAATTATTCGTTGGACGGTATGAATGCACTAATTCGATTTTAAGAATACAAGACGCTGTTTTACAGACTGTGATACGAAACGGGAAATTAGCTAAACTAGATTCGACAAATGTTTATCTGAGCGAGAGCTACTATCTTGATGAATTGATCATGCCTGCTACTAAAAGTCACTCAGCTTAACTATGCTGAGTTCAACAACTGTTTCAAAGATCCCATTTGTTACGAACGTTAAATTACAGATGGAGTTGTTTTATCTTGGAATATTAATATTTTTGACTGTTTTTCTTATTTACATTAGAAAGAAAGGATAAGAAAAAGTTGACTCTAAAAACTGAATATTCTAGTACTGTCATTTGTGCATCATGCAGCAAATAAAAAGCGAGAATTATGCTATTCTCAATGTGATTTAGTAGTCTCTGTAGTGATGCTTTTTATAGTGGTTTGGGAAATCCAATTAAGAACAAGGGACCTTGGAAAGGATGTTCTGTAGTTTTAAGTCAAAAAACGTTGTGCATTGTTATGTAACGTATTTGGAAAAATCGACATTAACATTTCGTGATAAAAAATATAAATACATTGGTCTGATAGAATTACCTATCTTGCGCTTGAGCGTCCATAGTGGGATTCCAATCGGAATCATAAAATATAACTGTGTCAGCTCCAGTCAGGTTGATTCCTAAACCACCAGAACGAGTAGATAGTATAAAAACGAAAATTTGACTATCCTGATTGAAACGCTCCATTAAAACTTGACGCTGTTCCACTTTCGTGGTTCCATCCAGACGTAAATAACGATGTCCATGATATGCCAGAAACTGTTCTAGAATATCTAACATTCGGGCCATTTGAGTGAAAATAAGAACGCGATGATTCCCTGACTTGAGTTCACGTAGCAAACTATGTAGTCGTTGTAGTTTTCCTGTTGAATTAGGGAAAAATACCATAGACACAGATTGCAAATAAAAGCATGAAGTAATCCACCGATATAAGAAACAGTAGTAGAATGAGTAGTCACTATGGATACATGAGCTATACGATGAATGAAACCAATTTCACTAGTGAAAAATATTAAATGATCGTTCATGTTGAAGTAAAATAGGATTTTGGTGCATTACATAATTGTCTCACAAATAATTAATTCCGAAAATTAGATTTGAGCAGTTATTTGTTAGTGCGGTCACTGAAACTTACTCAATTACGCACGTTACACATCGTGAAGGAGCGGAGGCCGATCACCGGTATTCTTTATTCAACTCTGTCCTGGGCTATCCTTCCCAGTTGCTATTCACCCTTTTCATATCTGCTTCCAATTCTCAGTGCAATTTGTTCTTTGGTTTTCCTCTTCTCCGTTTCCCCTCATGATTCCGAGTTAGGGCTTGCTTCGCGGAGCAGTTTGACGACTTCCACAATATACGTCCTATCCACCTCCAGCGTCTTTTCTTAATTTCTTCTCCAAATCGAAGCTGGTTAGTTCTCTTCCACAGTACCCTGTTGCTGATGGTATCCGCCCAACGAACATTGGGTACCTTGCGTATCCTATCGGATAGAAGAGCTAGGTTATCAGCGAGGTCCAAAACATCTAGTTGCATCCAAGCTATCCATTGCATTTGGTGCTTCCAGTCAGATGTGAAGGTATTCATAATCAGGTCAAACACCAGAAGAAAAAGAAGGCGGGGAGTATACAACCTTGTCTGACTCCGGTCATTATTTGGAATGTGTCTGTCAGCTGTCCTCCATACACAACTTTGCAGTGTAGTCCGTTCTATGGATTCCGGATGGTGTTGACGATCTTCTCACGTACACCCTAGTGTCGAAGAAGGTCCCATAAGGTTCTCCTATTCGTTCTCTCAAACGCCTTCTCATAGTCAAAGAAGTTGATGTATAGTGACGAAATCAATCCAATCGACTGTTCAACGGTGATCCGTAGTGTCGCGATCTGGTTTGTGCACGACCGATCCTTACGTAATCCGGTCTGTTGATCTCAAAGTTGGGTGTCAACTGAATCTTTCATCCGGTTCAGCAACACTCTGTTGAAGACTTTCCCTGGCATCGACAGTAGTGTGATGCCTCTGTAGTTTTCACACTTGCTCAGATCTCCTTTCTGTGTCTAAATTGAGTGCTTCAGCTAGTTGTCAGGTCCTACTGCTTGCCCACTCTTGATTCACTCGTTGACCTAAAATATACCGATGACATAGTTCTATTTGGTGAAGACGCTGGCAAAATACAGTCTTCTAATCACTATAAGAAACAATACAAGCATGTTCGGCATGCGATTCTCTCCCTCGAAATGCAAAATGTTGCTTCAGGATTGGGTTGTATCGACAACTGAACTAATGATAGGGAGTGAAGTAGTTAAGCGTGTCGACCGCTTCACTTTCTGGGAAGTCTCATCATCTCTTGTGGTCTGGTGTGTGAGGAAGTCTCCACGGATACAGAAAACTCAACTAGCTTTAGCCAACTTGCGTCATTTATGGCGTAAGCGAGATATCCGTCTATCAACCAAAGGACGTGTTTACTGCGCAGCAGTTCGTTCCGTCCTACTTTATGGCAGTGAAACATGGCCGGTAAGAGTAGAGGATATTCGTAGGTTACTAGTATTCGATCATAGGTGTCTTCGAAGCATTGCTCGTATACCATGGGACCATCGAGTAAGTAACACAGTTGTTAGGAAACGGGTATTAGGTAAGGATGGCAAATCAATTGATGAATTAGTGAAACTTCATCAGTTGAGATGGCTGGGACACGTGTTACGTATGCCCAACGACCGACTACCTCGACGTGCTATGTTCAGTGTTATAGGAGTAGGTTGGATGAAAGTTAAGGGCGGCCAGACTAAAACATGGCACAAATCCATTAAGTCACTGACAAGTGAACTGAGTCATGTTGGTAGGTGTAGACTACCTGGTTGGGGACCGCGAGATGACAGCAACCGATGGTTAGAGACCCTGAATGACATGGCTCAAAATCGTTTGCAATGGCGCAGGTGCATTCACTCTTTGTGTTCTCCCGAATTCTAATCTTCTCAACCCTTTTTTCCTCTTTCCAAGTTAATTTCACTGGATTATACTCCTTGAATAACATCACATCTTAATCTTTCCGATTACTGCTTATACTCCTACCACCTCTACCAATACGGGATTTGAATCGACAACTGCATCTCTGTGCTAATGTGGTATGGCAACTCGAACTGATGTACGTAAGTACGAAGTTCTACGTTGTTACTGACTGACTGACTTTGTCAGATGGTCATTCTGATTTCTTCGATCGTTGGTGGAGTGACAGCTATAGGAAAGTTTGTAGGTGCTGCTTTTATATCCGGTGGATTCAATGGAGCTGGCCTATTCAAGAGTTCCTCAAAGTATTCTACCCATATGTTCCCCTGTTCATAAATCTCAGTGATTGGCTTACCTTCTTTGTCTTTGTCTTGTCGTTCTGGTTTGCTATATTTCCATGCCAGCTTCTTTGCTGTGTCATATAACTGTCTCACATTTCCTTCTCTTGAAGTTTTCTCCGCTGTCATTGCTAGCTCTTCCATGTATTTCTACTTGTCGGTTCTAATGATCCTCATCACTTCAATGTTTGCTTCTGTGTACCAGGCCTTTCCCTTGAGTTTTTCTGCTCTTGTTTGACTGCTGTTAATTTCTGTCTTCTTGTCTTTCCGTACTTGAATACTACTCACGGTTTCGATAGAGGTCCATTCTTTATGATGATGCTTTTTGCGGCCCAGATTTTTTTATTGATATAAATTTGACCAATCTGATTCATTGTAGTATGGTTCGGCGAGACCAATGTAGCTTCGTGAGGGAATATAATGTCACATATAACCATCTCATCGTATTCACATAAATTTACAAATCTCCGGCGATTCTCGTTTCCTTCTCCTAGTCCATGTCGTCCCACGATATCTTCATGCCCGATGTTGACCGTTCCAACTTTGGCGTCTAGATCTCCTGCCAGGATGGTCAAGTCCTTTTCTGGGCACTTCTCTATAACCGACTGAAGCCTCTCATAAAACTGATCTGTATCGTCTTTGTTGCTTTCATTAGTGGGTTCGTAGTACTGAATGAAATTCACTGTAATCCCCTCCTCGATTTTGAAAGATGACTTGGTAACCCTGGATCCATGAGATTCCCATCTTATGAGTGATCTTCATGCTTCTCTGGAGAGGATTAGTGCAACTAGTTGTGTGAGCAAAACATTCTCTTCATGAGAGCACGGCAGCACCTCTTCCGTAGCTGATCTTTTCTGTCCAACTTGTGCCCAGTGAGTTTCACTTATTACGAGCACCGCCAAATTGTATCTCCTCATTTCCACGGTTATTTGACTGGTCCTCCCAGTCTCCCACATTATCTGGACATTCCATGTACCTATGTTAATTGTGGCTCTGATTATTAGAAAGGGAGAACGGCCTCGTGGGTTACGAAGAATATCGGCTTTCAACATGAGGCGTCATAATTCCTCTGAATGAAGATTCTTCAACTCCCAAGGCAGAGTTTAATTGGTTTGCCATTGAAACTATCGATAACTAATTTGAAGGATGTATTTACTTCATGTACGAGTAGTATATAAACGGAAGTTAAATGATTTAATATGCTCCAAATACGTAATAATGTGTAATATAACTTACTTTGCGAATACCGAATTACGTACTTCGTTACACTTTATATCTTAACACTAAATTCACTATCTAGTTGTTTAAAATTAAGTTGATAACAAATTATATGAAGTAGTTTTTGAAATAACTCTGTTAAGAAGCCTGGTATGCAATGAAATCAGACTAAATATTACTAACTCACCACAGTCGTATTGTATCAGACGTGGATCAGGGAATTGAATACGACAGGACATAACCAACTGATGTAACTTTGATGGCATCAACCACATCTGAGGACTCCAAGTTGTTAAACGGTTCAAGGTTTTTCGCTCATGATATTCAGATGAGTTCATAGGAAAAAACGAAGGATGTAAACACCCTGAGGATAGAAGCATATCTCGAATCCGAATTTCTTGATTGATAAGTTGATGCTCCAGAGCATGGTTGGAAACTTGAAGTGTAAAACCCGATGATATAACAGCAGGCACTACAAAAACGAACCTTTTGGAAAGAAATCAAAGGGCTAACTATTCGATACATAAAATAACAATTTAACAGAATTTAATGTAGATTTAACGTATTCCGATGCTACATATCACAAGGTTAATTACCTTTTCGACAAAATCAAAACATAACATCAAATACGCTGTTAACATTGAGAAACCATAGCCGCTTATCCGTATACAAATAACATATGCAAATGCATTAGACTAACAAAAACACAAACGCACAAAACCACTTGAAATACTTAACTGAGAATACAATTTTGTAGTGGTAGATAATAGGTTTATCTTTTGTAATTCGCCAGCTGTTTGCACTAAACACTAACTATTTTATCAACCTATCAATGCAGGTTTATGATCGCGATAATTACCATTATTTTAGCCTAAGTATTCTGGCACTAAATAGTCCCCACGACCATGAAAAGTTAGTGTATAGTGCTTCAATTGTAACCTGTGATAAGGGAATATAGGGTTTTTGACATTATAGAAAAGAGGGTTGTTCAGTAACGGAGTTCACAAAAAGTGTAGCGAGAAATATAATATTCTAAATATTACGGTTAATGGAAGGTTATAGAATATTTAACAAAGAGTAACAACATATAAACTATCCATTGTATTATCATGAATAAATATTTGTAAAATTGAACAAATAATTGTACGTATTTTGTTATCGTAAAGTTAATAAGAAGCCAATATGATGAAATAAACGATAAGAAGATTAAATCATTATTATCTTTCTAACTAAATTTCCATTAACTGTAGCTTATGATCACGATGGTCATCTGAGTTTGCAGAGTTGGAACAGCAGTTCAGTTTTTATCAGGAATCCTTTTATCTTCAATATGAGTATAAAAAATTGGGACCTAGTGGATTACAGTATTTACTGTTATGTGCGTGACTTAAAAACAATAAGGTCTAGTGATGATAAGAACATGAATCCTGATGTCCATCCGAACTTAGTCTGTGTGTGCAAACGCAAAAGTATGAAATGTCAGGATCCCAATCAACGTGAACTAAGAAGCAAAGACATTCATAAATCTTACCTTTTGAGAATTTCGCGTAAGTCATTTAAGTAGTCACCGGGGCTGTGTAACATCTCTCGAAGAGAACGAGATGATCGAAGCCAGGACGTACGTCTAGAGCTAATGGATTCCATACTGAGTGAACTCATTTGATGTATATTACCTTCAAAACAAGATATTTGGTCAACCGTAGAGCTTATAATACTGCTTAGAGGAGAGCACTTTACTGGCCAGGTATGCAGGCTTTGTTGACAGTAAACTGCGCCATTAATGAGACCAGGATATATGTGGACATCCTGTAGATTTTCGACAGGTTTTTCAAGCATCAAACGATTAATGAGAAAAATCAAATCTGGTCCAATGTGGGTTCCATGGTCCCAATACGTCCCAATATCATTTGAATGTGATTTGAACGTTAAATCACAACGGCGTTCATTAATTCTACTCATCAACAGCAATCTGTTACATCGTTCAACAAAACGACGACGCAAGCAGGACTTTGGCATACCAATATCCCAAGTATTTTTCGGGAATTCAACTATGCATAAAGGGATAAAAGAAAGACGGATAACCTGTAAAACAAAATTTAGTATCAAATGTAAAAATTAACACAAAGTAAACCTTAAACAGGTAAAAAAAGAAGAAAACGATAATTTATTTGCTTGCTTATCATGATCAAAAAAGAATATGACAACTGAATGGGTGTAAACTTTTGCACTATATAAAATTCTTTTGTGTACAATACGATCTATAGATTATAACATCATTTGGGCCTTCTTATTATCTGTTTCAGTAATTTTCATTCCTATCATGGAAACATTCATTGAATGAACACACATAACAACTCAAATTATTTAGATATACTCCAAACCAATTTCTGTTAGTTGGAACAAACATTACAACCTTTCCAAGCAAAAATATAACATACTAACTCCAATAAGATAAAATTATTGGATGGATATTGGATAAATGTAGTAAAAAAGTTATACCTTTAACTATAGTGGGTTCGAGATTGGTGGGGGACGAAAGCGCAGGATAGTATCCATCAGCTAAATAAAACATTTAAAAAAATCAAGTTTCGGTAACGGAAAAATGTAGAAAAAATCTTGATGCAAAGTTGAGTGCTTAAATCAAAATGTCACAAAGTTCGTTTGTTTTCGTTACCACAATAATATAAAGTAGTTACATCTAACTGGGAAAACTTCATCGACAAGTGTACGCAATTAAAACTGATGTACCTCATTCATTTAAAATTTTAGATTCTATGTCAATTTTATTGAATTGATAGTGTAAAGAATTTTACGAGGGACATCAAAATATGTCCTTAGCGACTCATGGCTTGGTTATATAAAAAAATAGTAGTGCTAATCTGTTTTGCAAATAATAGTTATGTTGTCATCGTAGTTGATAAAGTCGGCATATCAGAAATATTCCCGTGTTAGCATTTTTCGAAAGTGGTAACAATTGTTTTAATGATAACCAAAACTAAAATGCTGTAAATACAGGTATAACATGAACAATATACAACAACGTCCCTACTAAGAAATGAACTGGAAGTACAATAAGGCCGGAAGATACTTAGATCTGACGAAGTCAAGCCAGACAATAGAATTAACACAAGCACTATTAACAATTACCAAAAGATAGGTAATATAAATAAAATCTATCAATGTCTCAGTCATTTGTAAAAGTTTAAAGCAGCTAATAACAAAAGACCACAAATATAATAAAAAAGGCAGAGGTTATGTGTAATTTTAATGAACCAAAGATATGAAAACATAAATGAGAGTAACAAAGGGGAATACAGTGATATATAAAACAAGTTGGTAAGTGGAGATATCCAGATGAGTTAATTAATGTAAGTGTTATGTATATCCCAACAGTGCAATTGCACAGGTTTGAAAAATATCCAGATTCAAAGAGTTGGGGTCGTTGATTCATAAGCATTTGGCCTACTAAAGCGCCATGAGCATTACTGAAATTTGACAAATCGATAGTAGGTTACACAACGTAGTATACTCTATGATATAAACATAACTTGGAGGAATTGGGAACAAAAATAGTTAGGATAAAAGATATGTTTCAAAAATAAAGAAACAAAAGCAAACACAAAGGTTTACATAAAATATATGGTAATCTAGCACCTAAAGATACCATCGCCAACGCCCATCGGTTTAGAAGAAAGTAATTAGTATTTTCGAATCAAAATGGTATTGAATGAGCTCAACTCATTCCACGAGGTCTGATAAACTATAAAGGTGTCAGTTAAGAGTAACGGATTACTTGCAACTAATGAGTAGCCATATGAAAGCTTGGTAAAAGTGATATGGCCGAAAAAATTATGAAGCAAATATTACTATTCACTCAATGGTGATTTAATACAACGGCAACGGATACTTACAATACACAAAACACTTTGAGTCAAATAAAGGGGATCTGTTCAGATATTCTCCTTGAGATTTTCGGGATTTCTTTAGTTCGTTAAACTGTATTCTCTGAGAAGTGACTACAAGATAAACAACACATATTAACATTAGGAGCAGCGAGATATTATATTTATGTTAAAGATTCAGATGGAAATTCGATATGTTTTAAAACATCACTTTAATGTAAGATTTGCCTCGAAAGAATAAAGAAATTTGAATTATCTATGAAATATATTTCGAATGCAAGGGACATACATCAATTCTAAGCCAAAACTAACGGCCAATGCCATGACATTCATTGTTTATAACAGTAACATTAATAAGTGAACGTTTCACGGTTTCAAAGTACTGGTTTCAGGATCACTATAAACATTCTGTAAAGACAGTTAGTCAGCTACAAAGTAGGACTAGGCACATATATGCATCGGTTCGGCCGCCCCTAATTTCCATACGTCTCCAACACTATTCAGCATTGCGCGCCGTGGTGATCGGTGTTCAGGCATACGTAACACGTGGCCCAACCATCTCAGTTGACGAAGATTTACAGCCTCATCAACTGATTTACCATCATTCTCTAATACCCTACACGTCTAACCTCACTAATACTTACTCAGTGATCCCAGCAGATGCCAGCAATATTTCTAAGGCACCTGTGGTCAAATACTAGTAGCTTACCAGTACCTTCTACTCTTAATGGCCACGTTTCGCAGCCGTAAAGTAGAACAGAAGGAACTGCTGAGCAGTATACTCGTCCCTTAATTGATAGACAGATATCTCGCCTTCGCCATAGATGAGGTGAGTTGGCAAAAGCCAAACGAGCTTCTTGAATTCGTGCACAGATTTCGTCAGACACCAACCAATTTGGGCTGATCAAACTTCCAAGATAAGTGAAGTTGTCGACGTGTTCGACTACTTCACTCCCTATCCTTAATTCGGGTGTTGACGTAGATTATTCCTGAAGCAACAACTTGCATTTAGAAGGGGAGAAGCCCACCCCAAAAATTCTGGCATTGTTGCTCAGTTCTATCAAAAGACTGCATTTTATCAGCGTTTTCACCAAACATGACTATGTCATCTGCGTATTCCAAGTCGGCAAGTGGACCTCTTGGTAAGAGATCAGTGCCTGAAAATTCAGTCGACGAGAACGTTATTCTTTAAAGTAAGGAGGCAATTTTATGATACCACTAGAGAGGAGACTAAATTATATAGATTACAATTTCGTATTATAGTTAGGTGCTGTTTATCAGATAGTAACTGTAACAATTTTCAATTTAAAAAGAGAAAAATGACAAACTTTCAGTGTCAATATATACTAAGATTTTTGATACTGTAGGGAAATCTCGTGTAGCGATTTCCTTAAACTCATTTTATATGATTTATAAACGAACACATATAACGACGATGAACTGGTCAATCAGTTAGTCTAACGCAAAGTATAACTTGGAAAATAAGTACATCGGTCCGAATTGTCATACCCCACTCGCACAGGGAGATGAAATCTTCGGACCCAATCTCAGAATAGTAGACGTAATAACACTACCAGTGGAAATAGAAAAGATTAGGTATCGAATATACGATTCAAGAACATATAAATAAATGAAGAAAATTATGAGTTCACAAAATTACAATCCAGGGAAGATAAAAATTGTATGGGTCTTCATCACTGCAAATGATTTTAAGCAATGTCATTCAAAGTATATAACCATTCGTTACGATAATCACACGAATCCCAACCAGGTAGTTTAAACCTATTACAATGGCTAAGTTCAACTGTCAATGATCTCATGGACTGATGCAATGTAGGTAGGCAATAGTTGGGCATACATTCTACATGTCCCAACTACCTCAATTAATGAGGATTTACTACCTCATACATCGATTTTCCATCTTTACCGAATACTCTATCCCTAACCCAATCATTACGTATTCGGTGGTTCCAAAATATAAGAACAATGCTTCGTATAACCTATAAATACCCCTTATCCTTAAAGGCCATGTTTCACACCCAAAAAATAGGACGGAATGAACTAGTGAGGAGTAAACTTGGATATCTGTCCAACGCCACAAGTGACGTAAGTTGGCAAAAGCCAATCGAGCTTTCAGAAATTATGATGAGATTTCGCAAGACACTAGACGATCAGGACTGATGAGACTCTCTATATAGGGAAAGTGGTAGATAGGCTCCACTACTTCCCACCCCTTCATTAATTCTGGTGCTGATGCAAGCTGCCCCTGATGAACTAGTCGCCTGCATATAAATTACATTACTGCTATGAATTAAATTATGCAACGAATGCTAATTCTACAGATTAAGAATACGTATGAAATCCAATTGTCGACATGAGATTATTTCTAAGAGATATGATGTGTACGAAAACCATTTTACTTTTACATTGTATCTGTAGACAGAATACTTAGGAATGAATGAAACGTTTCAATACCATAATAAGAAGGGTTGCAATAGAACATGAAACCGCTAGTTCTTTCAGGTTTGTAAGTCTGTATACATCAGGATATTAATGCACAAAGAAAAATGAAATGGCGAGAAACAGTATATAGCCTCTATTATCTATGGTCTTTGATTACACAATATTCGAAATGATTTTGCCTTCACAGAATGAGAAAGTCGAATAGTGACCAATGATCATGTTATAAGTTCATCATTATTTCAGTAACTGCTGAAAAATTAATATAGACACTAGTTTGGAGAAGATAGCTTTGTTGATACAATAACTAAAATACTGGAAATAAATTAAATTAACTTGTTCACTAGGTACATGGGTACGAGCTCCACTCCAAGTGTAAGGTCTAGTGATACTGCCGTGTCGTCCTAACTGAAGTGGGATGGAGTTTGAACTATGAAATTCGTATCGGAAAATCGAACGTCTTAACTACTAAGCCACCTCTCCTAAAATGAAGCCAAAACGTGGAAGACTTGTGGATGATAGTAAGCAATCAATATCGAGGTACGTTCCCAGTGGTTGGTATTAGAAAATACAAGCATAATGGAAAATATTAAATCACGAGAATACTGATTTACTACGCTATGCCACACAATCTTTGGACTACAAATAGTACTATGTGCAAAGAAACTATGGTACAAATCTGTGAGATTGGTTGGTTAACTGAGTACTCACATACCAATGTGACAAGATCATACTAAAATAGAATCATCAAACAAATATACAATGATTTCAAAAGTCTTCTACGGAAGTTACCATTTCGAAGTCAGAATTTTTAAGCCTAGTTAGCTTTACTCAAAGTTTAAATCCTACTATAGTCTCTTGAAACAAACCATGCAGACCCAAAATAACGTCTTTTCTCACATCAACAGTAAAAATAATGGCGAAAACATCCGATACCTCGTGATTTTAGATCATTGTGGGAGATGATTTGATAGAAAAATCAAGGTGATAAATAATTTGCAAATAAAATGCCCATTAATTTCCAAACGAGCACTAATCTTGCATAAGTTATACATTAAGGAATAAAAAGCATCAAACAACACATACGACTCACCATCATCGATTACGTCACTAGAGTCAATAATGGTAATCAAGTTTTCTCGCGCACATAATTGATGACATCGTCTTGCGACAAAGCCTGGTAAATCCCGAGCCATTTCGACTAAATTCATCGTTTGTCCCAAGAGACGAGCAACCAATCCAGCGGTATCCAACCAATCTAAATCAGGATCAGAAAATGCTGAAGCTGATCCGAAAACACTTCGACTACCATTCGAGCTCGGGGCAAATACTAAGAAGGGGTGACTCATAGATACCAGCAATCTTGGAAGAGAATATGTTAAATATGATTCGGCTACCCGAAACGGAGAAATGATTGGCCTAGTTTCAAACAGATTTGGATGATTGCAAACCTTTCGTAGCTGCATAAGTATGTTCATGACTGATAGGAACTGGCCAGATTTTAAGGTTTCCTGAGTGCTAAAGAATAAGCAACGAAAAGGTTTTAAACCTCAAGTGAATAAAAAACACAATTTAAAAAAGTTATACAAATAGATAATTAACTAAGAGTTAACTTTTTTCTTGCTATTTCAAAGCCGCACCATGAAGTGTTTTTGAATAATTATACGAATTTCACGACGTTCGCAGTGGTTTAGATACCTCGTAATATGTCAATAAAAATTGTGTAGAGCTTAGGAAAAGGAAGGCACTAACACATTCATAAAAAATATTTAGCCTCAATTTATTTCAAAGCGGAACAGACAATATGATGAGTACTCAATAATAAAGAAAAAGCAAATCTTAATAAAGCATACCATTGGTGAATTCTGACACGCGAAGAGACTAAAAGACAATATTTTGTGTAGAAGTAGTTTAGTAATCCCTGTGTTACTACCACTAATCCAAGAAGTTCCGAAGTTGAGAAAATAATAATGGCCTTATTAAGTACGAAGCTAACATAAGTAACTACATCCTGAAATATTTATCGTAACAAATACACTTAAATTCAGATTTAATCAAACGGTTATCTGTAAATATGGATCAAACACCCATCAACATCGAATACATTACAGAAATAGAGAAATGTAATAAAGATAAGATTATTTTAAAACTCAATGCCCACAACCAAATTACATGTTTAAAAGATACGATCGAGAGACTGAAAAAGCAATTTATAAAACAGATTACCTTCCAAGTGACATAAAATCATCATATAAAAACCGTTGTCTTCTTGATAATCTACACATGATAACATGTTCGTACTTCTTTGGAAGTTGACGCTCAACATCCGCTTTGAGACGCCGTAACAAAAAAGGACGAAGAACTTTATGTAGTCTCTGAACCAGTAATTCATTATGGTCAGTATTCCCTTCAATCATCCCTATATGAAACAAAAAAACAACTTATGTAGACAACAAGCGAAGATTGAGACGGATTATTCAAAGATTCACAAGATTAGTTATATGGTTTATTATAAGGCATGAACAGAAAAGACATTACTGCATGTAAGACATCAGTTATTTCCTTGCTTCTCATAGTGTCTTTTATCCCACTCCACTAGTGAAATTATACCCGTTTTAAATGTATGAATACTGTTGCTAATAAGCACACTTATCGAACATACATTCACGTTGATATTTTTTGCTTTTACATTTTTTAAAACTTATACTGTGAGTTCTTCATGTTATACGTCATTAATCTCGAACCACACTATACTTTGTTATTTTAAGGATATACACACTGATTATTTTAAATAAAATCTATCTAAATATGTACGTTACGAAACACTCAAGCACATCTATAGCGATAAACCTATCAACATTTTGCTGTTGTTCCATGTTTTCTGCTTTTATTTTCTTTCTGGTTGCAGATCATTACAGGTAACCTATGATGGGACTGGAATCGCCTTCTCCATCATACAATTCATTCACAAACATGACACCTAAAATCTCCTACAAAGAAAATACCAGTTCTATACTATATCATTCCAAAACGCTCACTACATTGTAGCTATGCCACTTTCTCAACGTACTTATTAGTCATCTATCCGCAAATGCCGAGAGCGTGGAGAGTCAGCTCCCCCTCTCGAAATTCTCTCACATGACCACGCGTATACAGCCGCTGCCAGGGAAGTCCTACTCACTGCCTTCTCGTGGCGGGGGTGTCCTTCACGAAATTGAGAGGACGAAAAACGAATGTCCGGCACTTTAACCGGGATAGTGGACACGGAGAGTCCACCTAGGGGAGTTGGAAAACCCTGATCCCAAACCAAGGGTGTACATGGGCCCCAGTATATTAAAGGAACAAATGGCGTATGAACCAATTATTGGTCACCGGCTACCATAGGACTGTATCTCCTGACGTTGCTCCACTGTCTTGTGAATCAAACCTCTAGGTCGACGGCTTCGGGTGTGGCTCCCTAAGAAAACCACCTATTTCACTTTGGGCACCACAGAAGTATCCCAAACCTTAAATCAAATGATTTGTGTGGCACGTGCCTATTTGGTGCCTTCTTGTACCAATGTTTATGTTTAAATAAATAAATAAGTAAACATATAAGACTGATGCCTAATACAGTGCACACTTTGATAGCAATGATGTACTCTAAAATGGTATCACCCCTTCCCGGCGTTTTGATTTTTCTTAAAAAAAAGTATGCATAACTTTTAATTTTCCAACATTCTCCTCCTCCTCGAAATAATGTTGGGTCCTTATGGCTCCAAATTATAACTAGTAGGACTTTATTTAAACCATGTTTCTCGTATTGACTGGAGAATCCACTAAAAATGACTAGATGATGATGAACAACCTTTGATCTGAGTTCATTATTTTCAAATTCATTATGAATCTCGTTAGCAGATAACGAGTCATTAAGAAAGTCAACGTCTAACAGAATTAGATTAGATTTTTGGCCATCATTCGACTCAGCTGACATATTTCCCTCATTGTTATAAGAAGGTTCATCAAAATCATATGCATTATTCTGAGAATCAATATCTGGTACACTGTCATTAGAAATGGGATAAGTTGACTCAATATAAAATTCTGTCTTCCGGTGATTTTGAGTAACATCTGGTACAATTTGGTTCATCGTGTTGCTCCAGTTATTTTCTGAATACGAGTCACCATAGCTTTCTCGACTAATAGCACGTGGACCACAATTTTGTTCGAGCTGACGTTTATTTTCGCAGCTAGACAGTACCAGTAGTGTTTCATTTGATTCTGGACTCCGGGCTTCATCTACAGGACCTGGCTCCTGATCATCTGGTATTGTCACAACCTCATGTGCATTCAGCACAGTATTTTCTTGCTGTGAGCCGGACACGTTACAAATATTACGTTCTGATTCAGGTATAAAGGGATTTGAACCCTCCACTAGATACGCTTCTGAAATGTCTGTTACTGCATCATAAACAGATTTCTTATTTTCTGGTCGAGTGAAAAGTGTGTTGAATAGTTGTTGTTGCAAGGCTAACAACTTCTGCTGGTGCTGTAATATTAACCGCAACTGTTCTAAAGAAATCGCCATTTTTCTTTAGTTTTTCCCCGTCGCCACTGTTATATTCTGTTTTCTTACTGTTAGTGACCCAGCTATTCCTATTGCTTAGTATTCTCGGACACCGATTACAAATTTTGCCTCAGATTATTAATATCATTTGTGAACATTTAATAAAACCAGTTTATAAATCGCATCTTTTTAAAAAATATATATAACACTTAAACATTCAATATTCATTTTCCATCAACATGATCATGTCTATAAGTTATCGTATGCAGAAAATAAAAGAAATTAAACATTCAACAGAAATTTAGTAAAATTATGTTTGTTCAGTAGGTATATTCTTTCGCACTATAATGGTGTTCATTAAGAGGATATCAAACACATATATAGTAGTAATACAATGGCTTACCTGTAATGGGTGAGGCAAACCATTCTTGAAAATCTCGATGGGATTGAAATATATTTGGCATTAAGAAATGCATCAAGGACCAGAGTTCCATTAAGGAATTTTGTAATGGTGTACCAGTAAGGAGTAAACGCCGCTGACTATTGAAAGTAAGCAGAGTTTGCCAACGTTGAGATTTGAAATTTTTTATGTTTTGAGCCTGAATAAAATACCACAAACAAATTGTGAATGAGTAATCAAATGCAAACCTATGAACCTAGTTAAAAAAGAACACCTGTAAAGTGAATAACAGAGAAAACTTTGGTAGGCAAAGGATATCCGCCTGGATAAATGTTAGGGAATAAATGCATACAGACCATCAGCACACAGTACTGAAATGGTATACGATGTGAATAGTTGTCGGAAGTAGATTATTCATTACACACAAACAGCCGCCAGAGTTTTAAAAATACCGTCCTTACCAAATACATAGTTTGATATTACCAAGAAAGTTAATCAAAATACTACGGGCAACAAGTAAAATCTAATGATGAAAAGTTTGAAGTATGACACTCTGAGATACTAGTTATGATTCTAATTTTCTGCTTTAGCACACCTAATCGTAATCATAAAATTAAGCAAATACTGTTTGACGTTAACTTGGTATGACCAAAAACGGGTCCTAACGAGCACTGGTAACAGATAGGTGACTTCTGCTCAGAATGTTCCGTGCAAGACTGTGTTAGAGCACGCTGATTAGCCATTTCTCAGCTAATTAGTGCTAGCACCATACTTGGAGAAGACTCCAGAACCTTCTTGTATAAAATTGTGAATATAAAGTTTTCTTATTGTGATTCACTACCACTCAAATTAATTTATTTAAAATATGACTACGTACCTGGCCAAGCCGTGTTCTGATTTTAGGGAATGGTTGGGGTTAAGGATCCGAAGAATACTAAGCAATAGGAGTAACTGAATTAGATGAGAAAGATTTATTACCTTTCCAACTCCAAATCGGAAAACCAACCAGAACATATTTTAGAAATCCATAAAATGTATGGCTGTGTTGACAACTAGCTACAAGTCACTTGACTAATTTTTCATAACATCATGCAATCAGAAATAGACCTAATTTTTGAAGTACTGATAAATAAAATAACCGTAAGATGACTGAACTAATAATCTGTTAGTATGAAGTGTACGATCATATGCAGCTGTAAAACTTTGCTGCTGCAACAAATACTTATAAAATCGTTTGATAAGTACTCACACTAAATGTTTTGATTTTCATGATTTCATAGTGTAAAACGATGAAGAGAAATACGCTAACACTTTACACAAAATTTGAATCAATTACCTCGTCTAAAATGAGATATTTCCACTTTTTACGTTTAAAAGCGATTGCATCTTGAATAGCTAATCTGTATGATGTTATACATACATGAAAAGCATTTGTTTTCGTCCAACCCTAAAAGCAAATTATAAACTTTGAATATTTCTGAGGTTATCAAAGTTGTTTAACGAGCAAACTGTATGTCTGCAATCATAAACTGACCTTCCTTTTACATTTCCTTTCTTTCATGTTACCGAAATAAGTCAGGATCTTGAAAGACGGACACCAGCGTTTGAATTCCACCTCCCAATTAAGAATAACACTAGTTGGAACAACAATCAAATGAGGCCCCCAAACTCCTCGCTCACAAGCTAGATAGGCGAGTAGTGAAATCGTTTGGATAGTTTTACCTAGACCCATTTCGTCAGCGAGGATTCCATTTAAACGCTTGTCATAAGTGGCGACCAGCCAAGACAAGCCAACTAATTGATATTCCCTAAGATTTCCACCGGAGAGGAGAAAGGGGGAAGATACTGTAGCTAAACCAACTCCTGAGGAAGCGTTCTTTCCTTCATTCGTTGTAGACTGTAAAAAAAGTAATAAAATAGAGGCTTCACTGTTTAGGAAAATAATATACGTAATCACGCAAATCAAGTTTGTGGATGAAAATAGCACAAATCTAGTTATAGATGGGTTCTCCATTTAAGCAATGCTGAGGTTACGTCTCACAAAAAATCTAGTGCTTTACATACGTTTCAAACTAAAACATCTGCTACTTTCAAAAGTAGATGCTTTTAGTAGGGAGAGTTTAGGTTACTTAGTTTTTTGTTGTTACATATTAATTCTTTTTTAAGGGATAACCTTGATTACATCGTTCTAATACATATTTCCGTAACGACCTTTTTGTTACCTAGTTGGCTGTTACCATTTTCAGTTTGCTAATTGTTGTCCTAAAGTCATTGGGTGTTTCTATATAAGCAGAATTGTTCCGTTTTAATTTTTGACTTCTATTTGGAATAAAAAGCTATCCCGCCTTTATCTCAGATTAGCGTGTAAAGCATTAACACTGAAGTGTTGTTGTGTGACACACTCAGTTTATTTAAGTCCCCATTCGTTCGCCTTGTTGTTAGAAGAATTTCCATCGTTCCGTAGTTACCAATTACTGTAGGTTAGTAACGACCTAAGATACAACAGCGTCTAACGACATTTAAGAGTCCTGAAATAGTCGTCATATTAGTCCAATTAACTCAAGAAACGCCTCATGATTCAAATTCAGAGAAATCATGATATATATAGAAGAATGAGATAATTATTAAACTGAACAAGGTTAGTAAATATGAACTTAATCCGAACAGTTACAAAAAAAGATAAATGCCAGTGGAACTGATGAATACAAGCTTAAGAAAGTATCTTAATTAGATGATAGTTGTACGAGAATGTTTTAGACCTGACACTTAACTTTGAAAACAGAAGACCACGACTAGAAACTGTGTACACACATCATAAGTGGAGAATATATTTAGTCTTGAAATAAATACGATTTACACGTAGAATAATAGGTTTCAGTTAATGAAATTAACAAGGAAAGCTGACATAAAGTCACATTTAATCCTAAAACAATTACCTCAATAATTGGTTCACATGCAGATATTTGACAGGATGACTTTTGTGTTTCTTCGCCTTTATTGTTAGGGAGAACCACATTAGTATTACTTTCAGCTTCCATTACACTAGCATTCACGTCATGATCCATAACCTTTTTTAGTATTATTTCAGAACCCCTTTTTACTGATGGACACTCGTTTACATTTGAGTTCGCTAGTTCCACTTCATTATCAGTATCTTCAATCTCTTTAGTTAGTAGAGACTGTGAGTTTGATTTTAAATCAAACGTGTTTGAGGCGATTTCGAGGTTGGGTTCGTTCTTATTAGCGAAATTGATCATTGTTTCTTTCACTGATAGACTTGCTTCCAATTTAGGCACATCTAGCTCTTTCTTTTCAAAAACAGAAACATTAGCTTCAGACTTAGTTTCTTCACTTTTCTCTGGATACTGACATTCTTTAGGGATTTCAGAAGAGCATGTGATGACCTGACAAACTGCATCAGCTTCTATCCTTTTCTTATTGTATGGTTCGCCAAAATCCTTAACCTGTATGTAAGGATAATAATACAAAATTATAAAACATATGTACACGAGACCCATTAAACTGAACCGATACTGCGAAAATCAATAATAATATGAGTAATTCATCAGATAAATTTCTACCATCAGTTGAAGTAACAAAGTAAAAAATTGTTAGTATGCATCCGAAAATAGTAATCCTCATTTATAAACCAGAAAGGAGGACAGAAAACGAATTAGTTCGAAAAATCCAGTGAACGGCTTTTCCTTTGAATTGATGGATCAATTTCAATTGGCGGAATACCGTTTTAAACATAAGACCGGGGTGTTCTAGTAATTTAACCTGAACAAAATAAAATAATAATAGTGGCGAAGCGAAAAACAACTGTAACTTAGTTTCATTTTATAGCAAAAGAATAAGAAATTTACACAACTGATAGGGCTAAACAACGTGATGCATAAAAAAATATCATAAAACCTGTTTATTCGTGGATTTTGTAAAGCAATCCATGTCTGTAATATGGGCGAACAATTGCAAATACGAGCATGTGGAAGAAAAATATATAGTTCAGAAAACTAGGTATTGTCTTGAAGATATTTCTATTTTGACTTCACCCAATAAATAAATAAGTTTGAAAGTCATTCCTTCGAGAGAAACACTAACCTCACTGGCTGACGAATGTTGTACTTCTGAAACCACTGGAGAATTTGATGTGATGAATTCGAGATATCCGGGAGGCAAAAGATCTTCCAATGGACAATCGGCATCAGCTGCTAATTGTTCAAGCTCCACAGCTGTAGACATCTCAGAACCATGTTGATCCTCTATGGCGATTTTTTCTTCCTGCTCTATAGTTTCTTCATCATCAACTTCATTCAAAGCTACTTCATCTACCTGCAAGATAAACAAGTTAAGACGTTTCAAAAATCTTCGTTAATGCGAAAAGATGTAGGACATATTGGGTATTACTGTTTTTTTGCCGAAGGGCAAAAAAATCGGGTAATTATGTCACAAAAATACAAAAACAATCTTATTATAACCAAGATGGGAAATTGAAACAGTCAATGCAGTAACCCATGCCCAAAATAGTTGGTGAGTTATGTGGCAATACAGTAGTACACATACAGAAGCTTTAATGCCTAACCATGTTACAAAGTCGATAATGTGGACTTTTTCAGAAAGATGAAAAACCCAATTACACAGGTAATATATCACTGAAGTATTCAAAAATGCGTTGCTTCTCAAAAATCGTAAAATATGCCGAAAATAGACCTTCAAAATTTTCGTCAGGAGACTTTCAAACACGCAGTTATCATCGGTAAAAATGATTATAAAACTCGTTTAGCATTTACTTATTTTTAATTATTCCTTAGTTACTGATGTTTAATATAGATAGGATTTAGAGGTGGACTGAATATATTATCTAATTAATTCTTCAGTCGAAGCGGGTTCTAGCTTCCCACCAGGTAATATAAAGATATTAAACTCAGCAGTTAAAGTGTTCCTTAAAGTAAGCGTATTGATACGAAGAAAAGTAGACAGTCACCAAAAATGACACTTCATTTTGTCAATGTACCATTAAATATTGTTGAGATTTAGAGTAATCTCACGCAAAATTACTACTCACCTCAGTTAAAAGTAGACTGCACAACATTCTGCTTCATAACTATTTCTGAAACTATATCACATTACATTTAAACCCCTTTAAATATTTATTCATAAAGCTAACAGTATATATACCGCAAAATAAGGCTTACATTAGCAGTAGTCAGAACGTTAAAATCAAAACTGAAGACGAGAGACAAAGCGTTTTCAAAAAGTAACTCACAGTGAACTCTTCATCGGAGGTGTCGAGTTCCCTTACAGGAGATTTCAGAATACGCGGTTCACTATCTGATACATTTTCGTTTAGATTGTTGCCTCCAGATGACTTAGTACTACTAACAGTAGTTTTCTTTGGTTTAGAACTGGTTATTCCTTCAGTCAACCAACGAGTATACTCCTCAGTTGTTTCAAGTACTTGACCAAGATGTGAACTAATGGCTTGCTGACGCTTAGCAGTTAATCGTACTTGTTGTTTGGCTTGAACAATCTATACAATACAAGTTTGAAAATATTAAGTATCGAGGTCACAAACAGTGAGGTACTTAAAGCAACACTTGAAAAAGCATTATATTTGAGGTTACACGTCACTAGATCATAAAGACTAAGTGTAAAGGCGAAAATAGCTCTTGAAACCGACGGTCACTATTAAAAACTCGTTTGATACACAAATAAGATTACGTAGGACTACTGGTTAGCACAGGAATAGTTAAGTCACCTGATGAGAAGGCTCAGGGATGAATGAAATAGGGGGTTATACTGTTCTGGTTGCTAGAGATAGGACAGCTTGCACGCAATTGAAAGTAACGACAAAGATCTCGTTTTAGATAATACTTCCAAAAGACAATTTTATTCACTTAACACTGCATTAACACTAACGAGAAATATGCGGAAAGCGCTAATCAAAATACTTCAAACGGAGTGTTTACTCAGTAAAAACTTGTAAAAATGAGTTGAAGAATACTAGTCGAATATTAACTTAATGAGATGTAGCAATAAATTATGCAATTTTTAATCGCCTTTGAGTTGCTTTGTACAAATGGTGGCATTATATTCGTTATTTTAAGAGTTTGAACCCACAAACTATCAAAAATGCATTAATGCACTATCCAACTGAATAGGGTTGTTAAAACCTGGATAAGGTGACATTACAAAAATGTATTGTACTAAGAATAACTCTCATTGACCAATAGGCTTTGTTAAGGTCTTGATTCCTTTTACATAACATTGACAGGAAAAACATATCATACACATAGTCCCCTTTATCATCTTAAAAAGAGCAAGAACGAATATTGGTGCAGAATAATATGAGAACCCAACGAAATAAAAATACCTTGCATTTAAGTCAATCTTGGAAAAACTTGTAAGTAACATATACCTTATCCATCTGACGCCACCAATCACGGACCATCCTAGCAATAAATGCACACATCTTCCGAATGCGGACCACCTCCTCCTTTTCTATTTTTAACGCTCGTTCACTCTTGTCTCGACAACATTTGAGAGCGGTTAGGGCAAGCTTGAAAAGTAAAAAGAAGTAATAAGTTATTCGAGATAATACTATTGAATGACAACCCACTGAAACTTTAGAATAGCTCTATATGTGAACATATAAAAATAAACATACTTTCTTAGCGGACACTCGTTTCCATTGACGTTCACGCTTAAAATCTTCAGCTAACCAATTAATTTCTGCAAACATATAATCACTGTAAGTACGACATGTTGGCTCAGAAGGTGGAACTAAAGAAATACTAGTTGAGATATCGATACTTCCAGTTTCTGTTGTTCCACAAGATGAATCGTCGATTGACCATAAGCCATCCCGTTTGAGTTCAAGGACACGTTTAAGAATGCTTACTTCATCTACTGCATATTTCAGTAGGGAATTCTCGTCTAACCGACGCTGCAAGACAATAAGTACCAGATAGATCATATTACGCTGTGAAAAATATGACTGAGAATTTATTAAAAGTTATAGTAAAAGTGGTTGTATCCAATATCTTTCACGATCTTTATTCCTACGATCATGTCGACCAAGCTCATATAACTGTTGCAAGCTCTCAAAATTCGAGAACCCCTATTTAGGCAACACGACTCATCTAGTAAGATAATGATGTAACTTTCATCGTGATCATATCAAAACTAGTGTTCAACTTTTCTACTAATTTAATTCCGTACCCTTCTAAACCTTTAACTAAGCACGGGAATGTATACCAAGTTAAATAAATCGCCATGCTCTTTGTTTCTCTAAAAATAACCTTTACTTTAGAAAACTTCACCACCTCATTTAGTCAAATCGGATTAAACCATTGCTTCATTTTGGTACGTTAGCCGACTACTATGAGATTCCAACGGCTGTTGAGCTTTATAGCTTAATGTCAGGGTCGATACCAAACTAATGAGATGGGTTGTAACTTATACTTAATATTTTCTGTGAAATTATTCATCAGAGGTATGATAACAATGCGGGACATTAGAATGAGTTAATTGGTAGTGTACACGAATATGATCATACACAAGCGGAAAAGGAACTGGCGCAAGGCACCTGTCGCTTCAATTAGCCGAAACTAATACTGAACCACAGAAACAAGAGGAATAACAGTGAAGGTAAACTGACTTACAATAAATAATAACGAGTTATTTGAAAAGAGTAGAATTATTCTGGTGGTAACCTGAATAAACCAATAGACAGAACAAAGCGCATTTTCAATATGAACCCCTGTTTTAAGTTCTAAGAACTACCCAAAATCTTGTCAATGTAAACATGCACACTTTTGACGAGAAAAGATTCGAAACGTTGTTTAATAGTGCCTGAAAATAACAAGTCCCTAGTCCGTTCCTCTGTCTTGACACTGAAGATAAATACGAGCTAATGACTGATAATAAGACGATATTTTTGTCCTAACATTTTTATTGGAATATATGGTACAGTAACATACACTCCTACTAGTGTATCACTAAACTGAATAACTGCGGCCACTGAACACACAAATAGGAGACAAGAAAAGAAAGTTTACAAATAGTGCAACTACATAACTCACTTCGTCTTCGTCATCCTCTGAGTCATTATCCAAAGAAACTGGTTGGGAACCCAAACAAGGAGGAAAAGCCCCATTCGGTGGGAAAATAGCATCACTATTGACATGACCCGATATGTAATCACTGACCAAGGAAAGGTCCTCTGGATCAAGATGACCTGAGCAAAGTGCCTGCATTAATTCTTGTGTTTTTTTCCGCCTCCATTCATAAAATTCAATAAGAAGAGAACCACTTTGTATAAAATTTAGTTCGACGACATCTTCATGATAAGATGACTGAACTACACGCATCAGCTCACGGAGGCAGCAAACTACTTTGTTTCGCATTTCTAGGTCCGAATGGGGTCCTGTGATTGTTTCGTGGATGTTTACAGCAGAAGGGTCTGAAACCACCTCAAATTTGGTATGATCAGCGTTATCGATTTCAACCATCTTGTCGTCTCATTTGAAAGGCCATTTAGGCTGTTTCTGAAAGGAAGAAAATAACAAGTAGAATCACAGTAACAATAATAAAACCCTTTAAAATGAAGAAGAAATAAAACACGAAGGCATTGTCACTTACAACCAGCAAAATACTGAACCAAATAATCTCAAACATGCAAAAATAAGTTTCCAGACAAAAATACTTTTACTTTGGTCCCAGCAACGATATTACCTTCAGAAAAAACATACTACCAGACTTTTGTAGATAACAAAACAACGAAGAGAAGACGAAGTGCCGTCAAACACAAGACGCATTGAAACACTGTATGTTCAATATTAAATAAGATTGTAGGATGTGTTTCATGACAAATTCCAAAACATTCTGAAAATCATGAATAGTTGCGGGAAAGGAACGTTGTCTCTATGAATCGTTGACGTCCCATTAGAAGTTTTATATAACCAATCTGATGGTTTGTGTAATGCTACCAAAGTTTGAGTAATATATATATATATATATATATATATATATATATATATATATGATCTACTGAACGAATCCGCATAGGTTAAGTCAACATCACTAATTCAATTGTAATGCCCTGATATAAACAGTTTATATATTTCTACAGTCTCCTAAGTTTTCAAGTTTTTCTTGTCTTGCACATCTTTGAACATGTAGATCAACATGCTGGATCAGTGAAATGGCAATAAGCCCTAGCCAAATCATACTACATTTGGGTCACTGGATGACGAACGATTCATCGATCGTTGTTAAGGTCAGGGAAAACCAACGGGCACCAGTTAATTGCACATCATGGACTGGCTCATGCAGAAGTGGTCGCACTCTGTTCCTTGTACCTACTCTTACCAGTATATTTCTCCGATAACGTCGTTTGTGTTGTACGGTTATAAAAACAGCTATAGTATATGGGTACGACGAAATTGTAATTCACGTTAAGTACTAACCGCGAGGTGTGACTTCGACGTTGGCATGTTCATCCAATTAAAGTAGGCCCCAATTTTCCGACACGGACCATTTACGTTAGAGATGTATACACAGATGAAAACTGGGCGTTTCTCTTATTCTTAAATGCATAGCGTTTGATTTGACCAATAGATCTATGACAAACATAATTACTAAGCAGTTCCGCGTATGGTATATTACCCATAGTAACCCGGTAAAGAAACAAAATGTGATGTGTAAATGTATTTTGCAATTATATCTGTGGTCTGTCAGTGTGGCAGATGGGTAAGCTAGAAAAGGAGTGTATGAGCGGCAGTCTATTTGTGAGCAACAGCCAGTGTGTCATAGAGGCAGGAATAAAAAATACCAGAAAATTTATGTCATGCTCATGCAATACTTTTGTAATCAATAACGACCCTTGTTAAAATTGTGTGGAATTCTGGAAAGCTTAAGTAGTGATGAAAAGTATTTATAAAACAAGGTCAACTTAATCATAGTATCATATTCCCAGTCTTTTTTAAAAAACTATATGCAGTGCGGAATGTTATGGATTTGTGGTCGGATAACCACCATTTTCAACAGCCTGATGAATTAAGCGCATAAGTAGCTTCATTTAAAGTAACAAATGAAACTTTGTTAACTCTTTAGTTACCCTTTATTTTTTTGTTCTGGTGGATTAAAAAATCAATCTGGGAACTAAAGCTACGTTTGCTTTTCCTTGTCACCAAAGTAACTTCTGTTCTGGCCATATCACTACTAAGTTTCATGACAGTAAACAGCTTCAAAACTGATCACGGAAAATTCTTCACTACTAGCAGATTGGTGAGCAAACAGCATTTCATAAATGACTGTTAGGCTTGTAAAGAAGACAACTATAACCTAAGTCTGAATAAGTTATTAAGTTTCGTATTTATTCTTAAGGAAGATAAATAAGCCCATCTGGTAAGTCCAATCTTTTTAGTAAGTCGCAAGTAATCTTTCCGACACGTGTGGGGAAATTAGGCATAACCTCATTATATTTAACATCTTTCCTGATTATACTCAAGATTTCAAAACTTTCCACACTCTGTTCGAAGACTTCAGAATTTTGATGTATATAAACTGTTCTACCACAAACTTCCTTATAATATCTACACGATAATGAGAAATAATCAAATTCATGTGCTAAAATTTCTAATCAGCCGCAGACTAAAGTACAAAAGCCACACTTATACAGAATCATTGAATAGACACTCCATTTTCGTTCTCTAACTACTGATGTTAAGGGCCAGTAATAAACGATGTTAGCATGCGAATCACAAGATGGCATGATGGGCTTCAAAAAAAGTAATTATCAAAGGACAGCCTCTTAAGTGGACCATAAAAAAACGAGAAAGTATTTGTCTTATAAAACAGTATTAAATGTGGTAACCACAAGGAATGAAAATATAGATCAAGCGAATAATGCAAGTATACCGAAGTTACATGTGTAACACAGATTACAAAGATGTCATAAAACGGTAACTCCGGTGGTCTAAATAGTGTAAAAGAATAAAAAGTAGTTTCGGAGAACAGTAATTGTGATACGATTAGAGGTTATGGCCTGAAAATCCATAACTAACCTTAACCTTGCTCTCCGCACTACATGGTTAAAATTTTTGAGGTCTATAGATTTATCCTGACGTCAAAGGTGAGTTTTCCGAGTTAGGGCGCACTGCCAATATACTAGTAAAAGTATCGTTCGCCTGACGCCAAAAGCGTAACACCAGGAGGCGGGATACGAAGAGTTGTGGAATAATGTTTTTATAGCGTGACAAGAGCGAACCAAACATAGGCAACCATACGATTGCCAACGGGCCAGAAAGTATTTTATCGTTGAAACACTGGCCAGACTAGCAAACATACAGTCGCCAAGGTTTTTTAGATCGCTGACGTAGATTATCTGTATCGAATGACTGGGTGCATACTCTAGTTGGATCAGCATGCCAACGTCGAAGTCACACCTCGCGGTTAGTACTTAACGTGAATTACAATTTCGTCGTACCCATATACTATAGCTGTTTTTATAACCGTACAACACAAACGACGTTATCGGAGAAATATACTGGTAAGAGTAGGTACAAGGAACAGAGTGCGACAACTTCTACATTGTAGTGAAAGAGAACACAGATGAGGACAACCGACTACATTTAGCACTTGATAAAAATATAAAAACGATGCTCCGATACTTCATCTGCAAAATGTTCATTAATTGTCTCAGACTTCATTATTCCTCCATTTTCATAGCGATTTCTTTCTGTTCCCGTTCTTATCTTCTCGATGTTCTCAACCTTCTGCTGCCAGACACTGTATTCGTGACTAGCGTTATAAACTACTTATGCCGATATAAGTAGCACCCATATATATTGATTACCAAGTGAATACAAGGAGGCTTATAATTTTTACGTAAATGTTTCTCATGACTCACCCGAAACAACTCTGTCAATATCAACCCCTACCAGTATTATTTTTTAGTTCAGACGTGATCGATCCATAGTTCTAATCCACCCAAATAAAAGCCTTGTTTTCAGCGTGAGGAATCTAGTCACCTGTCAACCAGATCTGGACACGCATTAGATGAGCTGCTGATCGACATTTATGCATAATTTGAGGGTCCGATTGACCAAGTTCTGAAAAACACCGTAAAATAAGCATCGAGTAGCAGTAATTCAATGCACGTCAGTCTCCTACGAAGAAAGGCTACAATAGTTATTAACTACATCAGGCCCTACTAACAGGAAAGTGGCACAATTTCTACGATATGTGAAACACATGATGATATCACACGAGTTGAATGAGAAGTTATCAAAATAATTGTGGCTTCAGAGAATTCCATACAAAGTACTTAAGGGCGTGTGTAAAATTAGCCATCGCAATCCATGTTCACAAACCTAACCTTTTCATTCAAAAGAAATTTGTACAACCACTTTCGCCACCTTGACCATCGGTATGAGAGTGCTTACAGCAGAACTATTTTTCGCACTTTTTTCACTTTGTTTTTTTGTTATTTTTTTCAATTTTGTGATTTTCTCGACATTCATCTCTCGATTCTAACATAACTACTATTCTATTGATCATCCTTTGAAATATTCTGTTCCTTCTCTTTTTCATATATTATGCAACGTAACAAATTCTTGATTTTCGAATAATTACTTTGAATATCATAAGTCCTCTTTCTTCTAATTAATCAGTGTTAATTTATGAACGAAATGTCAATATGTAATTATTACGTGACGTATCCACTCGATGAGTACTATTCCATATTTATAAATCAAATATATATATATATATATATATATATATATATTAGTGTAGAGCCGTGATGAAAAACTAATTGAAAGGAAATTTCTTCGCTCACTTCGTTTTTTCTTTATTTACCAAAGTACTTAAGACCCTGAGTGCATCAGGAAATCCAGTCACCTTTTCCGACTAAGTTATTATGATGAGCAGAGTGACAACACGTTGAAATCGTTATTATATGAATATTTCAAATGTTAGCCATGACAAACATCTGTAAATTGACTGCGTTCCAAAAACGACAGGAGATTGATTCATATAACGAATACTCTGCTTTACAAGCAACTATATCCAATATCTACATGAGATACATTAGATCATCTTCCAGAGAAAGGCTGTTTTTCAGACCACACTAACGAATATCCATACCAAGAGCAGAAATACGTTGGTGTCAACATACTAATGGATTCAGGGCACTAAAGTGAAAGACGAAGAAACTCAGATAAACTTGTCAGCTGAACAGTAATGACGACTACCACTTCTGATAAGCCAATTAGTTAACAAACTATCTTATGTGAAATTTTTAATAGATACCAGGGAGGAAATGAGCACAGATGTACTGACGTAATCACTCCATCAAAACACTTTGAGCAACAAAATTCTATTCCAGACAACCAACAAAACTACCATCCGTAGGCACGCTATGCATTCGTACATACCAGATCTCGGTCTATGTAAAGGGTTTTCGTGGTGGCACATGCGAAACGACCCACTATTAAGGTTGATTTCCTCAGTGCCTACAATTTTCTGAGGGACACGAATGCATACCTGGTCATGGAAACTCACGCCTATATGTAAACGGTATTGCGACCAACACTGAGATTCACGGTACCCACTTGGTCAAACTGACAGATAATGTTTACACTGACGTCCTACTTCAATATGACAGTACCAACAGGATCAGTTGTCAAAACGACTGCAATGACATAGCCACGTCTTGCCAAACAAGACCATGCCAAGTACCTCCGTACAAATCCAATAAAATAAAAAAAATCATACGGTTATGCATC